ATTTTACATCAAAATTAGATTTCTAGAAATAAAAACAGCTAAAAACTGACTAGTTTTTGAGAATTTCCCTAAATTAGACGTAGCTGGGGGAAATTCAAAATTCAACCGCTTTATATTTTTTCGATTTATATACATGATTGGATAGAGCTAGTCGAGCTGATTCCGAATATGCGTGTTTCGGTTTCCAAAAAAGCTTTTTGAGGGTCAAAATTCGAAAAAGCTAGAAGACGCTGAAGCTTGAAAAAAACCGCCTTACTTTAAGAAATCAGCATATATCTTTCAAACAGAGAGGGTGGGGGCTTTAAGAGTTGTTTTTCTTATTCTGCGTTAAAAACGGGATCTGAAAAACATAATTACAATTTTTTCTAACATCTTATGACCGTAAAAAACTTTAGTCTTTCGACTATAGTGAAAACCCTCGTCGCTGGCTACAAAACAAATCAATTTTCTTTTTATTAGAGATAGAGCCATCCATATAGCCAGAAAAAAACTCCGCATTCACCGTCGAAAACTGATATATGTCTCGAGATCTTTCGTTGATTTTCGTTTTTTGGCGAAAATCTCAGTATTGTTGGTTTTACATGAAAATTCGAAAAAAACAAAAGTGGTCGGATAGTATTAAAAAAGTACACCATTCGACTCAGCTTTTGACGGTGACTCTGAATATGATATTTTCACTGCATAAAAGCTGACTTCTGGTCTAGATAACAGAGAATTATCGTCGGAATTCCGATTTTTTCGCTTATGATCTATAAAATGCCGTATCTCAGGAACAACAGAGAATTACGCAAAAAAAATGCGGAGTTCTTTTCTTGGCTATATGACGATTCTGTTCATATGAAAGAACCGGCTCTATCTCTAATAAAAAGAAAATTGATTTGTTTTGTAGCCAGCGACGAGTGTTTTTGCTATGGTCGAGAGACTAAAGTTTTTCACAGTCATAAGATGTTCGAAAAAATTGCAATTATGTTTTACAGATGCCATTTTTAACGCAGAATAAGAATCTTAAAGCTCCCAGCCTCACTGTTTGAAAGATATATGCTGATTTCTAAAAATAAGGGGGTTTTTCAAACTTTAGAACTTTCCAGCTTTTTCGAATTTTAAACTTCAAAAAGCTTTTACCGAAGCTCGGTATTTCCGGTATCGGTATTTTCGGTATCGGTAGTTCGGTATGGATACCGATACTAGTGCATACCTAGCAATGAACACATTTACGACAATTGAAATTAGCTACTTTTATCGGACAACAATCAACAGTAGCTGAGATTGGATCGATTATCGGCTGAGAACTTTGGACAGTTAGAGAACAGTCATTACTATAGTTTTCTTTTTGAAACAACTTTAATCAAGAATATTTGAAAATAAAATAAAGTAGAGGCATAGATTAAGCAAAAATGGCAACAGGCGTCATTTAATACTTAAGTAGTCCAAAAGAGGAGACATCGGTTTACTCGATTCTCACCCTATTGTTTGTCGCACATCAAACCAATGTGCCAGACCAATTGAGTTTAACATTGCAATTAGATAAGGTGGCAGAGGACAGCGCAATGATACTCGTAATGCATTAGGATCTGTATGTAAGGGAACTAACGGCAGAATCTGATTTAAGTTTTTTAATTCCTCTTTTATGTTGTCAGGTGGTTTTAGACTACTATCAAAGGCTATAGCAATTGAATTTTCTTCCAAGGCGTGATACAGATCTCTCAATGGCTGTTCTAACGTTGTAAAGTCTCGTACATCATCGATGGCACGTTTCAATGCTGTTGTTTTCGATAGAACTGAACCGAACTGTACACCCGCTAAGTTGAGTTGCTGACGAATGCTTGCTGTTGTATTTACCTCAACTTTATATGCTGCCAACGATTTCTCTAAAACCTTCACATTGTTCACCATTGCATTTCTTTGACTATCTAATTGCAATTCTAATGATTTCAGATCCATTTCTAACTGAATATAATTTGGATCGGATCTACCGATAACTATACGGCTACTTAAATCTGTTAATTTTTTTGATTTTACTAACACTTCATCTGCACCGTGTGACTGCTGTTGTTGTGTATCAAATTCATTCTGTTGTATGTTCATCGTAACAAACATTGTCTGATATAGACGATCAGTTTGCTGCCGTACATTATCGTTAAATGTATCGGCTCGTTGAAATTGTTGGTGAACATGCTCTACAGCACATATTAGACGTGAAACAATACGAGCAATATCGGGTTGATTGTAGGTGACAACGGCTTGTGCATCGATGGAGAGTAGTTCTCTGAGGACACCATCGTATAAAATATTAACTGCAGTTTTGTATGATGGTAAGATGTTTGAATTCATTTCATTTTGATACAAGTTAAAGACAACGTTCGCTTGACTGAGTACGGTATTTAGATGAAAAATTGCGAATAGGAGGACGAGAGTTAGTCGCATTTTTTTTGCTTTTGAATTTTTTTGTCAAAAACTGACTGTGAACGCTATTTTGTTGCGTTTTTTAGTCGTTCCTTATCAGTAATACACCATTCTAGATGAAACATGACATACCGTATGATGTTTTCGTCTTGGTAAATAAACGCTTTTTAAAGGAGGCATGTCGAGACCTTCTTTCAATTTCTGCACGTATTGGTAGCACGTGAAATACAAAGTGAAACTTAAATTAGAGGGTTGCAGTCATCAGAGAGGCGGATTATCGGCTCCGTTGCAACGGTCGACAGGGAAGACGACCCCCGTCAGAAACATAATTTTTTAAAAAAAAGCCAATATTGAGTTAAGCACATCATCAGCTAGCCCACAGTATCTACTATCAGTATCAAATCCTATTTAGTTCTTATCGAAAGGATATGGAGGTTTCTAGAAAAGTTTTCTGAAAACCTTGAAATCTGGCTTTTCAAAAAAGTTTTACTTTTCGATTAAAAAGCAAATTGAAAATTACTTTTAGTACATAAAAAAATAGAGAAAACATTTCTGATCAAAATGAGATATCTCCCAGCTCTGAATGATGTTTCAATCAAGAGTTGTGAGAGTTTTACTGGAAGCCCTAAAACATGCATCAGACACTGGCGCCACCATATCTTGAAAGCGACTTTCACCTGAACATCATTTCGTACCTGGAAGATTTCTCGGTAACGAAATCTCACAGAGAGCTCGGAAAGGTCTTGAATTGAAGCTGACACACGTGGCTAGATGCTAATAGAGCCCACTGTTTTGATATTCGGTCTAGATTTGTTATTAGAAAACATCTTTACCACAGTGAATGAGACTTTTTCGACTTTAATGCAGGAAGAAATACATAATATAATTAGCTGTCTTTTTTCCATCAAAGATTATGTTCTAAAAGGTGATTTTTAGTTTACACTTAGAGTTATAGCGCCAGTCAATGTATCTTTGTACAGACCGGTGAGTACTCTCACGAGAGTGCTCATTTTTGAACATAGCAGAGCTACTAAGTGGTATTTTGGAAAGTTGGCCAGAAATAAAAGAGCAGTTTCAGCATAATCCAATATGTGTAAGAAGCAGGAAGAACAAGAATTAGCAAAACAGCGGAGCCGAGCCGTAACTTCTGAATAGTGTAAAGAAAGAAACTTCTTTTTTTGTTAACAGAACTAAGGTAGAAATTTGAAATAAGCTTTATTTTCTATTATCAGCCAGCTAAAAAAAGTAGAAAGGCCACAACATCGAGAAAGTCAAAGGTGAAGTCCGCATAAGAACGGAAATCGGCCCACTAACAATAACCGCTCCAATCGGTCCAAACCTCATCAGAATCACATCCAATTATGATATTCAATGATTTCGACCCTTCCGAGCGCTTTTA